CAGGAGGAGTCGCTTGAGCCAGGATTGGAGGTTCGCTGGTGAGCGAGGCTGACGCCACGGCACTCTAGCCCGGAGCAAAGTGAGAGCTCTGTCTCAACAAAACAAACAAACAAAAAACCTGAGCAGCCTTTAGGGTTCCCTGCCAGTTCGCCGTGCCCAGCTCAAGAGACCTCACCGTCTGCCTGAATATCACTTCCTCAAGGAGGCCTTCCCTGGGCCTCCAGATTGAATTAGGCCCTTTTTATGCACAATTATAGCATGTTATACTTTTTTCCTTGTTGCACCTATCCCAACTGAAATTAGTCAGTTTTAGGTATGGCTAGTTGTTAACTCCTAAGCCCCCAGAACTGTTCTAAGCTCTTTGAGGACATACCTCATGTCTCTTATGTTTTCTAGTGCTTTGCATATGCCAAGTACCTGAAACCTATTTTAAAACACTTTGAATAAGTATATTACTTATTCAATAAGTAATAAACAAAGGAATGAACAAATGCATGACGATCATGGATAGGTATATTTCTCATAAGTATCTATTGCTGCCTAGCAAATGACCGCAAACTTAGCAGCTTAAAACCACACACATATATCAATTCACAATTTCTGTGGGTCAGGAATCCAGGCGTAGATTAGCTGGGTGCTCTGCTTTAGGGTCTCTCAAGAGGCTACAATCAAAGAGTTGGCCAAAGCTCGAGTCTCACCTGAAAGCCCAGCTAGAGAAAGCTCCATTGCAAGCTCACATGGTGGTTGGCAGGTTTGGGGTCCCATGGGCTGATGGTGGAAGGGCTCCGTCCCTGGCCGGCTGTCGGCCTAAGCCTGCCCCAGGTTCTGTACCACGTGGGCCTTTCCAAAGGGCAGTTCGACATGGCAGCGTGCGGGAGAGCCAGCAAGGACAAGGGCCTGCTAGCAAAAAGAACCTGACAGTTTTATGTAATGTCATCTTGGAAGTGACATCCACAAATCACAGGTCCTGTTCACACTCCAGGGGAGGAGATTACTCAAGAGCATGAATAATCAGGAGACAGGATCCCTGGAGACCATCTTAGAGTCTGTCTGTACAGTAGTTGTCAGGGCAGATGAAAAAGCCGACTTAACTTCAAATACGTGGTCAGATTGCCTGGGAACCTCATTTAGTATATCATATACTGATTATAAATAGGACATTTGTGCGTGTAATTTGCCCTATGTCATTTATTTTCTGTGCATTTTAATTGTGCTTTATGAGTCTTCTGCAGCTTGCCAGCTGCCGCAGGCAAACTAACAATCAGCTCCCAGAGTGTGTTAAATGCAGCTGTAATGCTCAACACCCTGGAACTGCCCAGAATCGCACTATTTCTCCTTCTGTATTATCCCTTCTACGTGTTTGGCAATAACTCTGAACACTGGTTTTGGAACACGATGAACATATCTTGGTACCAGAAAGCTAAATACCAAAATGGATGTTGTTTTTCTTCTGGGAGATGAATTTAATACTTGCAGTATTCTACGTGACTTCCCATGTGGGAATCTTTCCAGAAGCCAGATAGATTTTTTTTCCAAAGCATAAATTCGTCACCTCACCATGTTTAGATGGAATGAAATAAGTTTCAGTGACATTTCAAATTAGCATTTCTTTTCTTAATCTTATCCCATTCTTCTTAGATGCAATGATTTGTGAAGCAATATTATATGCCTCTCTCAAACTTTCCATCATGCACACCCCTTTTAAAAAGATGCTGGTGGATGGGTATTTCTTTAGGGAAACTGGACTATTCTGTTTTAATCTTTTTTTCAGAAATTATTCCTCCTGAATAGTTTTATTAATTTTCTGTCCTTCCTCCAATTTTGCTTTCAAAACTAGATTTCAAAACTGCTTTGTGATTTGTAATATAATAAGATGCTAGGACAAAAATAATGGCATTCAAAAGGAAATAACGACCTGAAAAACATAAGAATATTTCAATTTGTTGTTGAGGAGGTGTACATAAGAAAGCTACCGATCTCGCCAAAGCCAGGCCAATGCCAAGTGTTTGTTTCTTTTTAAACCCACAGTCTCCTGCTTCTAATTCTTGGCAACCTTCCTTTGAGAATCAACACTGCTTGGCTACTCAGCACTGCAAGATTCACTCTCACTACCTAAGTTCACAAAAAGTTCTGATTCTACACGTAGTGGTCTTGTCTGTAGCCCTGTGCGATCGTTCGCTTGACTAAGCTCTTCTTAGGCATTCGTATAACCCAAGATCTAAATGTTGTTTTGCCCCTGATGTCTATACAACAGTTAGTCTTGATAACCTTCAGCCTTTCTGGTTTTCATCCACAGTCCTCTTATTTTAAAGCAAGGGTTGTATTTTCCTCTTTGATGATTTTCTCTTCTCCTAATACCCACCTGCCCCAGCCCAGACCCCAGGAACCTGCCCTGGTGCCTCAGCTGCAGGCCTCCTCCGTCCAGCCCTTCCTTCACTCTCCTGCCAAGCGGGCTGGGGCTGCAGGAAGGGGGTGTGCTGCAGTGGAAGTCACCCAGCCGTGAAGTCAGAGCATCTCTCAGCTCTGCCATGTCATCCGTTCATTCCTTTCCAGTGTTTACTGAGCACCTGCTACGTGCCAGGGCCCCGTGCCAGGGTCTACTCGGGATATACCGCACGGCCTAGTCCAGTTTCTCCCTCTGTATAGAGGAGAAAATGAGGAAGTAGTTAGGAAGATCAGAGGTAATGCATGCAAACCAACCAGTAGCGTGTCTGGTAGGCAGTGGGGCCCTGTAAACGGTAGCTAGAGCAACTCCCAACTAGGCTTTCCCTGCGGTATCATGCTATGGCCATGTCCAGCTTCAACGGATCCCGTGTTCTTAGAGCCACTGAACCCTTTCTGTTCCCCCAGTTTCCCCTTCATTTCTGATCAGACTAGAAAAACGAGGCATCTTGCATGTACCGAATAGCCGTGGATACAGAGAAAATACACTACTGCCCTTGGGATGCCACTTGATGCAAAAGATCTCTCTTTGATGCTTCTACGTCAGCCACGATTCTTCTATGTGCTATGTTCCCATCATCCAGTATTTTCTGCTGCTTTCGAGATCGCAGTGCCCCTACAAATTCTAGACCTGGCATCCAATTCTAGACCTTGAGAACATGAGAGCCCAGGTTTTATTGAACAGTACAGATCACAACTCACAGGAAGCAAGAAGAGAAAATGATCTGCTACAGGCACCGTACTTGAAGCGCTTTCACATACAGCTAATCCTTACGGCAGCCCTGGGAGGCCGGCTCAGAGAGAGTTATCAGTTTGCTAATACTTGCAGAGTTTTTAGGGGCAGAGCAAAAGATTTAAACCCAGTGATTTCCTGACTCGGAAACCAGTGCTAAAGTCACATTGTCTCCATGGAGACGTAAACAGTATCTTTCTGGAACTTGTTTATTTTTGTCTCTAAATGTCTTTATTCACGGCGTGTCCTAAATGTGTTTCTGCTCGAGCAGGTTGTAGACCTCAGCAACAACGCTCTGACCGCTGTTCTACCGATGATGGTCATGGCCCTAGAACTGCCCCATCTGCAGGTGGACTTGGCCGGCAACCGATGGCAATGTGACAGCAGCATGGCAGTCTTCCAAAATTTCATTTCTGAATCCTGGAGGAAAAACTGGAATGTCATTTGCAATAAGTCTCTTGGTAAGTGGGCAGTGCTTCTCTCTGAAATGGTCCCATCTGGTTTTGTTGTTGTTGGTGGTTTGTTTTTGGTTTTGTTTTGTTTTGTTTTGTTTTGTTTTGTTTTGTTTTGTTTTGAGACAGAGTCTCACTCTCTGTTGCCTGGGCTAGAGTGAGTGCCGTGGCGTCAGCCTAGCTCACAGCAACCTCAAACTCCTGGGCTCAAGCGATCCTCCTGCCTCAGCCTCCCGAGTAGCTGGGACTATAGGCATGTGCCACCGTGCCCGGCTAATTTTTTGTATATATATTTTTAGTTGGTCAATTAATTTATTTCTATTTTTGGTAGAGACGGGGTCTCGCTCAGGCTGGTTTCGAACTCCTGGCCTTGAGCAATCCGCCCGCCTCGGCCTCCCAAAGTGCTAGGATTACAGGCGTGAGCCACCACGCCCGGCTCAGGCTGGTCTTGAACTCCTGACCTTGAACAATCCTCCCACCTTGGCCTCCCAGAGTGCTAGGTGCAATGGTTCCATTTGAACTAAAAGATGCACGTAAGAAATGTAGTCCCATTTGAAACAATGACAGTCCCTCTGAAAGCCAGAGCACCAATCCCTGCCATTAGTCAGCCCTGGGCTGTGTGTCCCAGAAAAATCATTGGTGCCTAACTGCTTTCCTGAGTTCAAGAACAATTTTCTTCACGTGGTCAAAGAAACCTAGTTCGGATCACACAGAATCAAGTGGATTTGGTCAAAAACAGAAATTTAACTAAAGGAGCATCTTGCCCCGAAGCCCCAAAACGTCACAGTGTTTCCCCAATTCTTAACAAATAATTAATGAAAGAACTTTTAAAAATGGAAACATCGTTATTTTAAATTCTTGCCAACATTCTGGAAGTGTGATCTCATACCTATACGAAACGGACACACTCATTCCAGAGGATGTTTTCCTGCGATTTGTTCCTCGCCTGGGAAGTCTCCCTTCTTGTTTCCCCCCTTTTATAAAAACCAACAGCTGGCGTTCCGAGGGTGGCGGGCAGGGCGTCGGGAACCGGGGGACGGAACTGGATCTTTCTGCTGTTTACAGCACTGGGGAATGGCGAGGAAATAACACTGCAAACCTCGTAGGGCCAAGAGCAGGGGTAGCAGGGGCCTGAAGGAACTTTCTGGCAAATATGGGGCAGGTGAGGTTACGGAGGAAGGAGAGGCCGCGCGGCTGCCCCTCTGGCCTGGCTTCTCCCCCCACGTGGGCAGGAAGCCTAAGACCCTGAGCCTCCTGCGCCGTGCGCAGCGCACCTGGGCCTGACAGGTGCGCGCAAATGCGCGCGCAGCCACACGCACGCCGGTGGCATTGGACACGAAAGAATGGACGAATTAATAACTAGATAGATAGAGATTTCAAACGACTTATCATTACGTGATGCACACTCCGAGGGGCAGCCAGATGCAGGCTGACGAGGACTCCGGGAGCTTGCAAAGCCCCTGACTCGACCTCCTGTCACTCAGTGCGTGTTTTCCGTCCCCCAGCTGCAGGGAACGACGAGGCACGCCACCGTCCTCCCGTGCACGTGAGCCGCGGCAGTGTCGCTGCAGCGGGGTGGCCCGGGCCGGGCGGGCACCTGGGCGCCCCGACCCCAGGGCGGCGCAGACGCGCGCGGGACGTGCGCGCCGCGGACCGCGAGGAGGACGCCGCGGGGTCCCTGGCGCTGGCCGTCAGCCTGTCGGTGGTCATCACGTTCCTCGCGGCTTTCTGCCTGGGCGCTGTCGCCAGGCCTTACCTTGACCGACTGTGGCGACGGAGTGGCTGCCGCGGGCGCCCCCGCCCGGCCCGCGCCTACTCCAACGCGGGCTTCTACGAGGACGTCGTCGGGGACAGCGCCCCGCGCCCCTGCGAGAACCGGGACCGGCTCTGGGTGGCAGCGCCCAGCCCGCACGGCGCCGCCGCCAGTCCCGGTTGGGCCCCGGGAGGGGACGGCTGGGGACCCAGCGGGCGCGACCGTCCCCGCCCACACCCTGACGCCTGCGACCGCGGAGCGGCTCCAGCGCTGGCGCAGGGCCGCGCCTACAGCAGTGACGTTCCCGGGGACCTGGACTATGACACTGTGGCCCAGGAACAGCCTGCAGCGGGCGTCCCGTCGGTGGCTGGCACGTCCCCAACTGTCTTGGGCTGCAGCCCCAGCGGCTGGGACCCCGCGCTCTCTAGAGCAGCGGCAGCTTCTGGCTGGGAGATGCATCTGAAAGCACGGGGGACTGGAGAGAGCCAGGAGGGAGGCGACACCGCGCAGTCACCCTGGGGAGGTGCGCGTTGGCCGATGGCGTTTTGCAAGGAAATACCAGCGAGCGCGCCCCAGGGTTTGCGGGGCGCCCCGCAGCACAGGCTCGAGGGGGCTGATGCCCCGGGACACACGGCCCCAGCTGCCTTTCCTCCCACCTGGGGCGGCTGCCTGGATGTCGAGGAGCCGGTGCGCGAGGCTGCCCCTGCTGACAGTCAGCCCGGGCTGGAGAGCCACCACCACTACGACGACAGCGACGACGACGACGACGAAGGCTCCCTGTTCACTATGAGCTCCGTGAGTTCGGAGGGGGCCGGGGACGGCTGGGAGGCCGGGGAGCCCCTGCAGGACGAGGGCTCAGGGGCAAGCAGGGACAACGTGACGTCACCAGCCAGTCTTGGGGACAGCGTCACCTTCCAGAATATTCTAGGGAGCTGCGAGAATCCGGGAGACGGGTTTGAGGAACCTCTCGTTTCTGGTGCAGACTCTGGTCTCTGCAAGACTCCTCCGGAAAACGCCTCTGACCTCAGTGCATTTGAGGGTCCGTCACCCTTGCCCAGGTCACTGGGGAATAGTGCCACAGCGCATGAGATGCCCGGCGTGTGTGTTTATGACACGGAGCCTGAATCCGAGCCAGCAAAATGGCACTGCTCGCTTAGAGACTTGGAATTTTTCAGCGTGGACGTCCTGCCACCAACGCCACCGAATTCTGCAGAGCCTGATGAGAGCGTCAGAGACTCGGGCATCTGTCAACAAAAACCTTCCCCTCGGGGAGCAGGCACAGCCCAAAGAGAGATTCCTTTCGAGATCACCGCGGGGCAAACCGTGAGACCCTCACAACAAGACCCTGAGGGGGATGGGAATTCCGACGAGCTGGAAACTGAGGCAGATGATGGGTTTGCGTGTCCACCTGCGGACTGGGATTCCAGCAAAGCTATAAGCCAGATGCAATTGTTACAGTCCGATGGTGATGAACCCGCTCTTCGGAGGGAAGGAGGAGGAGGGGAATATTTCGAAGATGGTTCCAAGCACCATGCACCCTCATTCCGAGAGCTTCCAAAGGAAACCAGCTCGCTAAGAGCACAAGAGCGCCTCAGTGACGGAGACTGGGGTGAATATTCAGAGGAGAATCTGTTGCCCTTAGAAAAAGGTGGTTCTGGCGTTCATTCCCAAAGGCAGACCCAGAGCAGTCCGTTGGGGGCTGGTGTTCTAGGTGAAGAACAGCTAAACCACGACAAAGACAAGGGCATTCAACCCGATAACCAAACGGAATTCAAGTGACACTTTTAGTACAGACTGAAGCACTTGTATGGAAATGCGTAGCAGGTTTCGATGAATTCGGCACGAACGCTTGCACAACTTTTTGGAGGTTGAACACGAGACTGCGAAATTGGGAGAATTTAGAGCAACTAAATATCTTTAATAAGTTATGTTAAACGAGAAGAAGGATGGTTTTCTAGAATGAAATGTGAATTACAAACCAATTTTCAAGAAAAGGGTTGATGTTTTTCTGTAAAAGATGTCAAACTTGCTAGAAGGTACATTTTTCTGTTGCCTGAGCGTCCATTCATTCGGGTTCATCACATTCCCCGAATGCCGTCCACACGCCCCTCGGCCACTGAGCAATGAGCTTCTGGTAATCAGGACGAGAAATAACGTCGAGAATTATGCAGAGAATAACAAATCCTTACCGCCACCTAATTCTTTTTTCCAAATGTATCATTCTGTCCGTCCTTATTGCTAGTGTAGGTAACTGCGCTGACGGTGGGAAAGTATTTATTCCACTTTGGAGCAGTTTCCAGTGAATAATGAGATCAGACCTGGAAGAGCGCACCGTTCAGACTCACCTATTCTGTAGGTGAGAAACTTAAAGCACAGATCAGTAACTGTGTGTGCCCAAGGTCACCCGGCTAGTTCTTATTCTCAGGCAGAGAACGGAATTCTCTGTTTCTGTTTCAGAGAACAGAGAGAGAAAGAATTCTCTTTCTTCCTGTGAATGAAGACAATCTTTATCCTTCCATCTTTCACTCTGGCTGTCTGCCTTCTGTGGGCTGGCGCACTGGTTAGGAGGCCCTGCCACCCACCCAGCAGAGTTAGAAAACAGCCTTTCCGGCCGGGGATGGTGGCTCACGCCTGTCATCCTAGCACTCTGGGAGGCCAAGGCAGGAGGATAGCTCAAGATCAGCAGTTGGAAACCAGCCTGAGCAAGAGTGAGACCCCGTCTCTACTAAAAAATAGAAAGAAATTAACTGGACAACTAAAAATATATAGAAAAAATTAGCCGGGCATGGTGGTGCATGCCTGTGTCCCAGCTACTTGGGGAGGCTGAGGCAGGAGGATTGCTTGAGCCCAGGAGTTGGGGGTTGCTGTAAGCTAGGCTGACACCACGGCACTCTAGCCTGGGCAACAGAGTGAGACTCTGTCTCAAAAAAAAAAAAAAGAAAACATCCTTTCCAGAATGTCACGGCATCTTGCAGACACTCTTTTCCGAAAGCAGCAGCTGCCTGTGGCAGCAAATGCCATACCTGACATCGTAGCTGCTCCCCGCGCCGTGACAGTGGGTGGCACTTTGCAGCTGGATTCAGCCTGGTGCTTTTTCCCCCAGAACCAGCCTGCATCTTCCTCCTTCCGCAATCTGAGATGGGCCTGCAGAGCCAGCGACAAAACCGGGGCTCCCACGCCCCCTCCCTCCATCACTCCCGAGGTGCACCTTCTTCCTTCCACGCCATGCCTTTCCCACGTGGGCGGGTCTTTCCCTCATTCTACCTGGGCACACCTCGTGCCAGGCAGCAGGGCACCCCTACATTCACGAGAGCAAGAACAACAAAAATGGCCCTCGATTTCTTTTTTTAAAAAAAGAAAAAAATTAGCAGGAGTGTGTTTGTTCTGAAACTGTTCCTGCTAAACACAGCCTCAGCCCTGCGTGCTCTGTCAAAATCTCCCACAAAACAACAGGGGAGGAGAATAGCACCCAGCACTGCTGGCAGAAACTGACGTTAATTAGGGCTGCCAGAGTTAGCCAATCAAAATGCAGGATGCCCAGTTGAGTTCGCATTTCAGATAAACAACAAATACTTTCTTAAGTCTGTAAGCATGTCCCATGCAATATTTGGGACCTCTTTAAAGTATTTTTTTCATCGTTTATCTGAAATTCAGCTTCCACTGGGTGAGCTGTATTTTCTCCAGCAATCCTATTTTAATATTCAAATTAAGTGAACTGAAAAAAAATCTTTCACGCACTGTACAGAGAGGTTCTGCAGTTCCAGCTAGGGGGAGAGAAAGCGAATTTTCTGAGCTACCTTTGCTGCAGCAAAGAAGCGACTGGATGTCTGGAATGTTCCGCGTGAGGCAGTAAGCACATACCACCCGTGCCTACAAACGTGCTTCTGTCAAAACCTAGGCAATGATTTACAAAACAGTAAAAATGGAAATTTGCTCATACCCTAATGGGTGAGGGGCAGGACGCAGAACATCAAGTCCTGCTGGTGGTTGCCAAGAAAAAACAAGATAAAAGACAAAAAAAAAAACAAAACTGCAAAAGTGTTTCCTTGCACGGAAGCAAAGAGTTACTTGTAGGGAGAGTGGATTGTGTAAAATCTTGGAGAGTTTCGAAAAGGGACAGCCTTCCATTGTGGGCACTCCGCCAGTGGCAGCCGGCCGCTCACACACATACCTGTCCACCTAGCCTGGACTTCCTGGCTTCAGAATGCAGCAGCTTCTATTTTGGCTGCCTCAGCAGCCTGGAAGGAATTGCTTTCAGTTAATTCCATTTAAAATACCGTAAGCACATTGAAAAATACCATAAGCACTACTTTGGCTTGCTGAATTGTATGCACTCATGCATGGGAATGCTCTCGTATTTACCACTCAATTCGACCGAACCTCCTCTAACATACAAAATACTGTGCAAGCCGAGGGGTGAGGATGGGGTGTGAGGCTTCGAGAAGGGGGGTGGGAGGGGTTGGCCCAGCAATCCTGGCCTGGGAGAGGGCAGAGAATCTAGTGGGAAAGGCTCATCAAGACAAACTTCCTATACCAGAAGCACAAACGTGATGTCCAGAGAGCCCCATTGCACGTTTTGGAAAAGCAGGGCAGAGGAGAGGGAGTAGGAGTGAGAGCCTAGAGAGGTGGGGACTAGGCATGCTACGCCTTTGTCCATATTTTAAAATAATTCATGAATTTATGCAGAAGGAACACCAGTGTGTTGTTTAGACCAGATATCTAAATAATAAATGTTAAATTGCATTCAAAACTACCCAAATGTAATGGGCTACGGCTCTACGTGTGTCAGTGGAGGAAAAATCAATTTGCAAATTCATGAACCAGGCTCTATTTACATTTAGTTATGAAGGCCTAACCGCTTAGAACAGTCTAAATCTACAGATGAAAGCATGTGGAAATTTTATCTCTGAGCGTGTAACGTTATCAACTGCAATATGTAAGCGAAATTCAACACACCAGAGGAAATGCAAATGCACACTTGTTCGTATGTGAATAAGATTACCATTTAAAACAAAAAAAAATGTTTTCTTTTTTAAAAATTGTGAATCCTGACCCCCAGAAGGGAATGCATGGCTCGCCTTTTGTTAGTCTCCATTAAAACACAGCTGGCTCGGAACCCCTGCCTCATTGCTTATTTGAAAAGAACAAAGGAGAATCCCCCAAATCTGAGCGAGTCCCGAAGCAGCAACCATGAAACTGAAGAACTCCTCGGGCACGCGAGAGGTTGCACTTTTCAAGAAGTACTGTCCTCCCAGGGACTTGCCATCAAACCGTTGTTTATTGATGCATTTCCTTGTGTGTGGTCTGCCTTCCCAATAAAGGCAAAGATCTTTGTCTTGATCCCTGTAGCATGCCCGAGCAGGGGACAGTGCCTGGCACGCAGTAGGTGTGCCACCAACATTTGTTGATTGAACAAATAAATTTTGACTCTAGATGAGCCAAACAGAAGCAGCGCTGTTGAACATTCTATTACGGATGGGCGTGAAGTTCCCAGACTGGTCATTCTCAGAAACGGCACAAGAACGAGGCACTCGATCTCTACTCGTGACTTCAGCTGATTTCTCTGGAAGCCTCCCCATGTTCCAAAAGACTGAAAAAATTAGAAGTGTGTTTACCATCCCCGAGGTTCAGTCTAACTCTTTCTTCACTCAAAAAACATTTTCATTAAATGTCAAGCGAGAGGGAGCTACCAAGAAGTACTGGCTCTCTGACAGTTTTCACCATTGGAAGGAAGGCGACTGCTTTGAACCAACTTTTCTGTGCTTTGATGAAAAGAAATGCATCTGTAATTATATTTCTTAAAGGAAGTGGGCACGGATTCCTGGGGTTTGTGATTTGGCATGCGCTCCAACAGAGTGGTGGTGGGGGGAGAGGAAACTATTAATCGTCCTGACTTTTTAAAGTGTGCAAAGTATTTACAGCAAGGGCTGCGCATGCTCCGTTAGAAAGAGGGAAGGGAGAGGTGTTTTTCCACTTGCTCTTTCCAGCTTTTCCTCTCTGCCCGCATCTTTAGCAGGGCGCACCTGGCTCTGCCCTGATTTTCCAGCCAGGCTGAATGCCGTGTGTCCCTCTCCTCCTCTCTCCAATGCCCTAACCCTGTCTGGGCCACTTTGCTTCTCCAAACTACCTTGCTCCCGGTACAGACAAATCTCTGCCCCTTTTATTTCAGTGCAGCAGGGGTTAGAAATTTTTAGGAAGAATTTTATTAGGAATCTGGAGCACATGCTGGGATTAGGCTGGTTTTCACCAGGGTGATCCTACTGGCTGTAGGACAGACTGGGATATTTCAGTGACAGTCGGCATCCACAGCTTGCCCTCGCCCCTGAAGGTCCCCCTATCAAAGGTGGAACGCCGGCCACCGCAGCAGGGGACAGAGCGGGAGAGGCCACTCCAGCTCCCTGCCCCAGCGCTGGGCATGCATCTATCCGTCCAACCGGTCAGTGCCTGGACTTCCAAATCGTTGCATAAGTTGGGGAAGACGGGGACTGGCAGGCTTTTACCGCCTGGGGGTCACACCAGGGCTGCCCCCGCAGAGTGGCCTGATGCAGGTGAGCTCCCTTGCTGGCAGGAGTGGGAATGCTTCCCTTCTCCTGTTTCCAGCCTAGAGTCTCGCACCAAGCCTCCTGGCCCGTGGTTCCCAAACAACCACGAGGATCGGTGCCCCTCTGTGAGGAAGGCTTTGCCAACCCACTGAGATGTGAGGGATGCAAGAAATGCACCCAGTGTTTTATATTTTTCATAAACAAGGAAGATAATGGGTTTGTTTGATTTATTTTTTAAT